GCTCCAATCACTACCTGAATGGATTATCTGCCAGATGTACACTTGTTGTGTAAACGAGGGCTTTCCAAGTATGGCTTCGTTTGAACTTTTTCAGTCAGAATCTGTAAATGATCTGTTTCTTCTACAGCTTACTTGTACTACATCTTACAGCGTTTGCTTTTTTTATGTGCCCCTTTTCCATTGTTTTTAAGCAAATATCTCACTGTATCATATTGGAGGTCATAGAGATTATGGTCCAAGCCAGAATATATTTGAGAGTGAAAGAAGCTGGGGTAGAGAATAAATCAATCATATCTCTGGCACAAGATTAACAGGCATAATCTAGGACATCCTATGCAAATAGAAAAATGTTTGCCCTAATTTATTGCCCATTTTATTTCATATATTAAGAAATGATAAGGATTTTGATGATATTAGGCTTAGATTAAACATTTGGATATAATTATATTTAAAGGGTTATCTATCATGGTGGTTTAACATAAGAACTTGACAACAAAGTAGCTTCAAAGCTGATTCAGATCTTACCCTAATAAGAATTATAGAGAAAATGTCTTTACTAATACCTGCTTTTGGAGTTGGGAGAATTAATTTAGCTAATATTTTGGAAAATGCTTTAGAAGCTGCGTAGTCTATTAAAATTTAAAAATATCCACGAGTGAGGTGTGTGAAAATAGAGAATCATGAATTGATAACACTACTTCAAAATATATCAATTTTAAGAATGTAATTCTTAATAATGAAGATACATTTTTCTATTACAGATTTAAAATTTATATTAAATGTATAATGTGGTTTTTGGAGGAGTATTCTCTGTTTTATTCTTTAGGCTTTACATTAGAAAGGTAGTAATAACATAGTCCCACCATTCTTAAGCATTTTAGGAATTATCAACCTGCCACAAAGGGTATCAAGAAGGCACAGAAATAAACTGTCAGCACTAGAGATAACTTAATCAGTTAAGCTATTAATATTTTATATACATTCAAAATATCCCACAGAAAATACCCGGTGGTTAACTATATAAATGTATATTTTAGAGCATCAACAAATAGCTAATCCTTACTGTGTGAACTGTTACATGGCTGGGAAGTTACTATTGAAATTTCTACATTTCCATAGGAGGGGAAGAGGAAATGATTACAGTAGGACTTAGACATTTTAGTAAGAGAAAGTTTAATTTTAATTTTTTATATTTTTCTGTCCCCTGGAGACTTAGTATTGAAGTAACTGCACTGGGACTCTTGCTCTGTGTTTGTAATCACTATCATTCAAAGAAGTTACATGAACACAGTGTTTTGTGAATGAAGTCTCATAATATGGTCTCACAAATCTTACAAAACTTGAATCAATTTTGTTTACAGGAAAGTGAGCCAGGTGTTTTCAGAGCTGATACCTGAGTGTCACTTCTCTGGATATTATGTCATTATAAATCTCACCTTGTCTTCTATTTAGTGTTACTGTAACAGAATACCTGAGACTGGGCAATTTATGAAGAAAAGAGATTTAATCGATTCACAATTCTAGTGGCTGGAAAGTCAAGGAGCATGGTCCTGGTATGAACAAAGGACTGGGAGAAGGGAATAGTAAGGGTTGAAGGGAGCAGGCTTTCTAATACATTGACTTCTGGTGAGGGCCATGCAATGTGTCATGATGTGGCACAGAAGCAGAAAGGAAGCATACGTGTGCAAACAGACACAAATGAGAGGCTGGGCTTACTTTACAGCAACTCTCACTTGTGGCAACTAATTCATTCCGCAAGAGTGAGAATTCACCCACTCCTTCGAGACAGCATTCATCTTTTCATGAGGACAATGCCCCCACGATTCAAACGCCTCCCACTGGGCCCCACCTCCCAACACTGTCAAAAAGGGAAACATATTTTCACATGTGTTTTAGATAGGAAACACTCAAACCATAGCATTTCTTCCACATCCCTCGGAAACTCATGTTCTCTTCACGTGCAAAATATAATCACTCCATCCCAATAATCCCAAAAGTCTTAACTTGCGTCAGCACAAGCTCAAAATTACCAAGTTAAAGTCTCATTTGAGAATCAAAGAAAGCTCCTTCCAGCTGCTGGCCTGTAAAACTAAACACAAGTTTATTGACTTCTGAAATACAATGGTGGGACAGGCATATAGTAAACACTTGCATGCCAAAAAGGAGACAGAAGCAGAAAGAAAGAAGTAACTCTCCCAAAGCAAGTCTGAAACCTTGCTATAAATAAAAACATAAATCTTTAATATCTAGCAGAGCAGATATTAAATCTTTAAAAATTTTTTTTTCAAATTTTTAATTTTTGTGGGTACATAGTGGGTATATATATATTTATGGGGTACATGAGATGTTTTAATACAGGCATGCAATGTGAAATAGGTACATCATGGAGAATGGGGTATCCATCCCCTCAAGAGTTTATCCTTTGTGTTACCAGCTATCCAATTACATTCTTTATATTATTATAAAATATACAATTAAATTATTATTGACCATAGTCACCCTGTTGGCTATTAAATTAGAGTAAGTCTCATTTATTTATTTCTAATATTTTTGTATCCATTAACCATCCCACTTCCCCAACCAGCCCATGCACTTTCCTTCCAAGTATGTGGTAACCATCCTTCTACTCTCTATGTCCATGAGTTTAATTTTTTTGTTTGTTTGTTTTTAGATCCCACAAATAAGTGAGAACATATGATGGTTGTCTTTCTGTATCTGGCTTATTTTCATTTAACATCATGAGCTCCAATTACATCCATGTTGTTGCAAATGACAGAATCTTTCTTTTTTACAGCTGAATAGTATTCCGTTGTATATATGTATCACATTTCTTTATTTATTCATCTATTGATGGACAGTTAAGTTGCTACCAAATATTAGCTATTGTAAACAGTGCTGCAACAAACACAGGGGTGCAGACATCTGTTCCTTATACTTATTTCTTTTCTTTTGGTTGTATATCCAGCAGTGGGATTCCTGGACCATGTGGTAGCTCAAATTTAGATATTTCGGGAACCTCCAAATTGTTTTCCATAGTGATTGTACTAATTTACATTCTTGCCATCAATGTACAAGGGTTGCCTTTTCTCCCCATCCTCTCCAGCAGTCTTTATTGCTTATCTTTTGGATATAAGTCATTTTAAATGGGGTGAGATGATATCTTATTGTAGTTTTGGTTGCATATCTCTGAGGATTAATGATGTTGAGCATCTTTTCATATGCCTGTTGGCCATTCATCTTCTTTAGAAAAATAGTTATTAAATATTTTGGCATTTTTTGATTGGATTATCTAAATTTTTCCTATAGAGTTTTTTGATCTTCTTGTATATTTCAGTTATTAATTCTTTATCAAATGGGCAGTTTGCAAATATTTGCTCCCATTCTGTGGATTTTTTTTTTTCAGTTTATTGATTATATCATTTGCTGTGTAGAAGCTTTTTACAATCCTATTTGTTCATTATTGTTTTAGTTTTCTATGCTTGTGGGATATTCCTGAAAAATTTTTTGCCCTAGACCAATGACCTGGAGATTATTTTCCAATGTTTTCTTGTACTAATTTCATCATTTGAAGGCTTAGATTTAAATCTTTAATTCATTTTCATTGGCTTTTTGTATATAACAAGAGATATGGGCCTAGTTTAATTCTTCATATGGATATTCAGTTTTCCTAGCACAATTTATTGAAGACAGTCTTTTCACTGTCATGTTCTTGACACTTTTGTTGAAAATGAGTTCACTGTAGCTGTGTGGGTTTGTTTTCAGGTCTCCATTCTGTTCCATTGGTCTATATGTCTGTTATGCCAGTGTCATGATGTTTTGGTTACTATAGTTCTGTAGTATAATTTGAAGTCAGGTAATAGGATTCTTCCAGTTGAGTTTTTGCTTAGGACAGCTTTAGCTATTCTGGGCCTTTTGAGGTTTCATATAAATATTAGGACTGTTTTTTTTTTTTTTTTTCTCAGGACTTTCTGCTATTCTGGGGTTTTTGTGGTTCCATACAAATTTTTAAGTTTTTTTTTTTTTTCTATTTCTGTGAAGAATGTTTTTCACAGAAATAGAAAAAAAAACAATCCTAATATTTATATGAAAGGCATTTTTCCTAAAGATTACATTGAGTCTGTAAATTGCTCTGGGTAGAATGGATAATTTTAACAATATTGATTTTTCCAATCCATAAACATGGAATATTTTTATTTTATTTTATTTTTTGGTGTCTTCTTCAATTTCTTTCATCAGTGTTTTACAGATTTTATCATACAGATCTTTCATTTCCTTATTAATTCCTAGGCATTAAATTTTTTTGTTTGGCTATTTTAAATTGGAGTACTTTTTAAAATTCTTTTTCACATTGTTCATTGTTGGCATAGAGAAATACTCTATGGTGTTATGGTGATTATGTATTGTACTCTGCAACTTCACTGAATTTGTTTATTATTTCTAACAGTTTTTGGTGGAGTCTTTAGGTTTTTCCAAATATAAGATTATAGCATCAGCAAACAAGGATAATTTGACTTTTTTCTTTTTAATTTGGATGCCCTTTATGTCTTTCTCTTATCTGATTGCACTAGCTAGGACTTCCAGCACTATGCTGAATAACAGTGGTGACAGTGGGCATTCTTGTGCTCCTGATTTTAGATGAAAAGCTTTCAGTTTTCTCCCATTTATTATGATACTAGCTTTTGGTCTGACATATATGGTTTTTATTATGTTGAGGTATCTTTCTTCTGTTCCTAGTTTTGAGAGTTTTTATCATGAAGGGATGTTGAACTTTATCAAATGTTTTTTCAATATCAATTGAAATTATCACATAGTGTTTATCTTTCATTCTGTTGATGTGATGCATTACACTGCTTGATTTACATATGTTGAACCATTCTTGCATCTCATGGATAAATCCTGCTTGGCCATGATGGATGATCTTTCTAATGTATTGTTGAATATGGTTTGCTGCTATTTTGTTGAGGAACATCAGAGACGTTGGCCTTTAGTTTTGTTTTGTTTTTTTTTAATGTGTCTGTGTTTGGTTTTAGTATCATGGTAACACCAGCCTCATAGAATGAGTTTGGAAGTATTCTCTCCTCCTCTGTTTTTCAAAATACTTTGTGTAGGATTGGTATTAGTCTTACTTCAAATGTTTTATAGAATTCAGCAGTGAAGTCTTCGGGTCTGGGGCTTTTCTTCACTGGGAGACTTTATATTATGGTTTCAAACTCATTAACTGTTAGTGGTATGGTTAAGTTTTAGATTTCTTCCTCGTTCAATTTTTTTTTTTTTTTTTGAGACAGGGTCTTACTCTTGTCACCCAGGCTAGAGTACTGTGATGTGATCACAACTCACTGCAATCTCCACTTGCTAGGCTCAAGTGATTCTTGTGCCCCAGGTAGCTGGTTTCCTGAGTAGCTGGGACTGCAGGTATGTGCCACTATGCCCAGCTAAGTTTTGTATTTTTAGTAGAGATGGGGTTTTGTCATGTTGGCCAGGATGGTCTTGAACTCCTGACCACAAGTGATCTGCCCACCTTGGCCTCCCAAAATGCTAGGATTATAGGTGTGAGCCACGGTGCCCAACCTTCCTGGTTCAATCTTGCTGGTTGCATGTGTCTAGATTTTGTACAATTCTTCCAGATTTTCAAGTTTATTGGCATATAGTTACACAGAGTAACCACTAATACTTTTAATTACTGCAGTATCAGTTGCAATGTCTCCATTTTCATTTTGATTTTATTTGTAGACTAAAAACAAAGGGGTGGAAAAAGATATTCCATGACATGAGTTGTGTATCTTGTAGGCAACAGATCAGTAGATCTCTCTTTTTTTTAAAATCCATTCAATCACTCTATGTCTTGACTGGTGACTTTAGTCCATTTACATTCAATCTTATTATTAGTAAGTAATCTTACTCCTGCCATTTTTTTTTAATTTTCTTGTTGCTTTATAGTCTTCTCTTCCTTCTTTCCTTCATGTCTTCCTTTAGTGAAGGTTGTTTTCTCAGGTGATATGATTTAGTTTCTTGTTTTTTTTATTTTTTTTGCTTGTGTATCCATTTTGTTTTTGGTCTAAGGTTACCATGAAACTTGAAAATACTATCTTATAATTCATTTAACCTGATAAAAACTTTGCAGCAAAAAAAAAAAAAAAAAACCCTAATAAAACCTCTTCACTTTAACTTTATCCCCCACTCTTAAACTTTTTGTTATTTATATCTTCTGGTACTGATTACATCTTGAAAAGTTGTTATAATTATTATTTTTTATTGGTTCATCATTTCTTCTTTCTACTTAGCATACGTGTTTACACACCACAGTTACAGCATTATCATATTTTGTGTTTACTATTATCAGTGAGTTTTATACCTTCAGATTATTTCTTATTACTCATTAACAACCTGTTCTTTCTGATTGAAGTACTCTCTTTAGCATGTCTTGTAGGACAGGTTGATAAAATCTCTCAGCTTTAGTTTGTCTGGGAAAGCCCTTTTTTCTCCTTCATGATTAATAGATATTTTCACCAGATATACTTATTCTAGTGTAAAAACTTTTTTTTTCCGTTAGCATTTTAAATATGTCATGTTGTTGTCTCCTGACCCGTAAGGTTTCCACTAAAAAATCTGCTGCTAGATGTACTGGAGACCAACGATATGTTATTTGTTTCTTTTTTCTTACTGTTTTTAGATACTTTATTTTTGATCTTTGGGAGTTTGATTATGAAATGCTTCAAGGTAATTTTCTTTGGGATAAACCTTCTTGATGTTCTATAACCTTATTGTACTTGGATATTGATATATTTCTCTAGGTTTGGGAACTTCTCTACTATTATTTCTTTCAATAAACTTTCTACCACTATCTCTTTCTCTACCTCCTTTTTAAGACCAATAGCTCTTAGACTTGCCCTTTTGGGCTATTGTCTAGATCCTGTAGGCATGCTTCATTGTTGTTTATTCTTAGTTCTTTTGTTCCCTCTGACTGTGTATTTTCAAATAGCCTGTCTTCAAGCTCACTAATTCTTTCTTCTGCTTGATCCATTCTGTTCTGAAAAAATTCTGATGCATTTTTCAGTATGTCAGTTGCATTTTTTCATCTCCAGAATTTCTACCTTATATTAAAAAATTATTTTAATCTCGTTAAATTTATCTCATAGAATTCTGAATTTTTTTCTCTGTATTATCATGAATTTATTTGAGTTTCCTCAACACAGCTATTTTGAATTCTATCTGAAAGTTCACATATTACTGTTTCTCCAGGATTGGTTCCTGGTGCCTTATTTAGTTGATTTGGTGAGGTCATGTTTTCCTGGATGGAGTTAAAGTTAGTAAATGTTTTTCAGTGTCTGGGTATTGAAGACTTAGGTATTTATTGTACTGTTCACTGTCTGGGCTTTTTGTAGTCACCCTTTTTGGGGAGTGTCTTCTGATATTTGGAAGGACTTAAGTGCTGTGATCTAAGCTGTATCTGCTTTAGAGGATACCACAAGCCAGTAACACTGTGGTTCTCACAGACTCATAGAGAGGTACCACCTTGTTGGTATTAGCAAGATCCAGAAGAATTCTCTGGATTATCAGGCAGAGACTCTTGTTCTCTTCCCTTAAGTTTTTTCCAACAAATACAGTCTCTCTCTCTGTTCAGAATCACCTAAAGCTGAGGGTGAGTGACACAAGCACCACTCTGGCTACCACCACTATGACTACACTGGATCAGACCTGAAGCCTGCACAGCAATGGGTCTTGCCCAAGGCCTGCTGTAATCACTCTCTGGCCCCTGCCTATGTTTAGATTCTTGGAGCTCTGCAATTAGCCTGTGGGATGCCAGCCAGGCCATTCTTTCCCTTCAGGGCAGCAAGTTCTCTTAGGTCCTGGGTGGTTCCAGAGATGTTGTCTGGGAGTTAGGGACTAGAGTCAAAAACCTTAGAAGTCTACCTGGTATTTTATTGGACTGTGCCTGAGCTGGTAGTCAAACTACAAGATGTAGTGCTTCCCCCTTTTCTATCCTCCTTCTAAAGTCAGAGGATTCTCACCCTATAGCCACCACCACCCCAGGTCACAAGGAATACTGCCGGACTACCACTGATTTTCCCTTGAAGCCAAGGGCTTTTAAGTCAGCTTGTGCTGATTGCTGCCTGGCCTGGGACTCACCCTTCCCCACAGTGGGCTCCCCTCTGGCCCAGGACAGGGCTAGAAATGCCATCCATGAGTCAAATCCTGGAATTATGGGCCTTAAGAGCCTATTTGGTGCTCTACCCACCTGTGGCTGTTCTGGTACCTAAGGTGTAAGACAAAGTCTCCTTTATTTTTTCCTCTACTCTTCTTAAGTGGAAGGAATGTTATGCCATAGCCATCACAGCTGGTAATTTGCTGAGTCTCACCTGAAGCCAGCACAGCTCACAGGCTCTGCTGCAGCCATTGATGTGGTACCCGGATATCAATGCTGGTTATTCGGGACCCAAGGGTTCTTTAGTTAGCACATGATAAATTCTACCAGCACTGAGCCCTTTTCTCTCAAAGCAGTAGGTTCCCTTCTGACATAGGATGTGTTTAGGAATGTTGTCTGGGAGCTAGGGCCTGGAACAGGGGCTTTTTGACTCTCTCAGGTGCTCTATCTTGCTATGGCTGAGCTGGTATCCAGGATGCAAGATAAAGTCTTTCCTACTCTTCCCTCTAATCTCCTCTCATCAAGAGAAGAAAAAGGTACTCTTTTGGAGTCTTGAGATGTGCATCCTGGGATTAGAGAAGGAGTGATGCCAGTACTTTCTTGGGTGACCCAGCTTGTATCGCAGTATGTCATTTCCCCCGCAAGTCCACTGACTCCAAGCCTAGTTCAGCACTAGGATTCACATTCCCATGGAGTTGCATTCCTTATGGCCTAGACTGCCTTTCAAGTTTACTTAGACTGAGACCACTTTAACCCTTGGTGGCTAGGTTTGTGGGAACTCAACTTTGGACCTCTGGGATCCGAGGTCCCATAAAGAGGTTTATTTAGCTCAAAATTCTGATGATTAGAAAGCTCAAGAGCATAGTGCCTGCATCTGTTTTTCTTCTGGTGAGGGCTTCATGCTGCTTGCAACATGGCACAAACGCAGAAAGTATGCAAAGTATGCCTTTCACATGTGAAATGTTGACCTTATTTTATAACAATGCACTCTTGTGAAAATGATTCCATTCCTGCAAGAGTGAGAATTCACTTACTCCTATGAGATGCATTTATTTATTTATGAGAGCAGTGCCTTCAAGATCCAATCACCTCCCACCTTAAGCACAGTCATACTGAGAATCAAATTTCAGCATGAGTTTCCAAGAGGACATGTTCAAACCATAGCATATCTGAATTTCAGTTTTAAGGATCTATTTTTTTATAAAGTGCACTATAAAAGTACACTGTTTCTTACAAATAGGTGTAAGGTTTCAGGAAATCTTTCTCTACTGATGACACTGGCTTTTGTTTCAAATAGAGATAAAAATATAAATAATACATAAAGTTTAGGAGAAGAGAGAAAGCACAGAGAGGAGGAGAAACAGAATTTTCTGCATTTTAGGTGACAATTTGCAGAAAGAAAAAAAAAATAGGTCCCTGGTCAAATGCAGCTTTTATCCTAATGCAGGGAGACAGTAGGAAGCATGTAAACAAGTAAGCCAGTGTGTCATTTTTTTATTGTGTTAAAAGTAGTCAAAGAAATCAACAGAGTGATGTCACAGGAAGGGGTTAAGGATGAGTTGAATCAACTTAGAAAGAATGGTCAGTAAAAGCCATTCTGAAGAGAGGAAATTTTAGCTTAGCCTTGAAAGATGAAAATGGGGATAACATTTGGAGAAATACCTAATGTAGATGATGGGGGATGGGGGCGATGGATGCAGCAAAACACCATGGCATGCGTGTATCTATGTAACAATCCTGCATGATCTGCACATGTACTCCAGAACTTAAAGTATATTAAAAAAAAATTAAAAAAAAATAAAAGAAAGAAAATGAGACTTCAATGTGAAAAGCAATGCAAAACTCTCATCACATAAAACACTTTGGATTTTGAGGAATGGAAAATTAAAAGCTAAAGTCAGTAAAGAAGGCGCAGAATATAGGAGATGAGAGCAGAGATAGACAGGGATCAGTTCTCACCGACTTTCCAGTTGTTTACAAACACGGCAGTACAATCGCAGGCTACTTAGAAGACATTTGGAAATATATGGTTGTCAGAATGGAAAGAAATGGGGATCTGCTGACATGTAGTTCTCAGGAAGCAGTGATGCTAACTTTTTGATGGTGCAAAGAAACATCCTTCACCATGCAGAGCTGTTCTATTAATACTTGAAATGACCATAAAGCTACCATCATCCCTTTCCGTTTTGAAAAATATCAATGGGGTTTTAATTAATGATAAAGAACTTTAGCTTTTGTTCTAAATACATTGAGAATAAGATTTTATTTAAGGAAATAATGCTGTCTGAATTAAATGTCTTAAATAGTCTGGTAGTTATGTGGGAAATGAATGGTAGACACCATTAGTTGCATTCTTTTAGGGATTTAGAGGAAACCATTTATATTGGTAACCAAAATAACATTTTGTTTCTTCCTATGAAATGAGATTCCCACTTTTTTCTGTTCCCTGGGTCAAATATATGCTTTAACTGAAGGGAGAAAGAATATTCTCAATTGTGAAGCAGTGTTTTAATTCCTATTTCTATCATCTTTGGAATTTCCTCTTTACATGACCCTATACACAGATCAAATATTGAATTAGCTAACCTCAATTCCAGTCTCTTCAAAAATTGAAAGGAAAGTGCCAGTAATTTTACATAAATCTCAGAGGCCAAATTACAGTTTTTATTAGCATTTAAAAAGCCAACATTAACACTAAGTTTTCAATCAAGCAACACATAACAGTTTAATCCTATGACTCATTAACATTCCTGACAGACACAAGGTAGGCTTGAGGCATGCACAGCTGAGGAGCTGGAGCCTCCATCACAATAGAATGCACCCTGCCCTCTCTCAAATGCTTTCTGCATTCAGATCTTGTTTAGGCTGCATTAGACTGTGGGTAATGACTCTTTCCTTTGTCCTCTGGACCCATCAGCAACTACGTCTATTAATCCCGGACCTCATGTCAGTCTTCCTTCATCACTAATACCAAACTACCTCTTACTTAGTCACAATAAAATATATTCAGATTCTCATAACATATATCCTTCTGCTTTAGGAATTTGCCAATACTGACTACAAAGGTTTATACCTAGGGAATGATATATACCAGCTGTGTGATTTGCTGAAGTAGAAGGTCATTATAGTGTTACAAAAATATATCATCATAAAGTCAAAACATTTTAGAACGTGAAAGGATCAAAGAAATCATTTAGTCTATGTGTTGCAAACACAAAAAGAGAGTCAAGAAGAAACAAAAATGGGCTCTATGTTTCTCACTCAGAAGAATTAGGATGTGGCAACAGGATAGAGCAGCCCTTTCTGAGAGCAAACACTATTGCCATATGTGGCAAGAATGGGAACATGGACTCTTGGCACCTGCTGACATTTCTTTCAAAAGAAGCTAGAAATCCTGGCTACTTTAAGAACAATTACTCGATTTCCGACTACACAAAACAAAAATATAGGTTGTCAGCTTAAAAGTTCTGATAATTCAATCTTCTGATTTCACAGAGGTGTTAAGCATTTTTCTCAGGCTTAGAGAGAAAATAAGGGATTTGGTGGGAAAACCAGAAATAGAATCAGGGATATTTTTATTTTCAATTCTTTGCTCTTTATGTATCAGTGAATCTTCCTTATCTCCATTACAATATACCCAGCACACCTTCTCACTATGTGTTTTCAGCTGACCAGGGAAGGCTTGTGTAGTATATTCTGCGTGAAAAAGTGACTATCAGATTTTCATTCTACCACTAAGTTGAAAACTGCTAGGAACAGCAGAAATGTGGTTAAATCACACAGAGCCATCAAAATATGTATCTTCATTTCTGAATGTTGTCTCATAAGCATGTATTGTAAGTTATAGGAAAACATTTTTGAGACAGGGCACAAAAAATGGAATCACAGATATATATAAAAGATCGGGCAGGTAAAGATTAATGTTGATTTGTCATATCCAAGGAAGTTTAAGAGCATGGACAAGTTGAAGGGCAATACGTGGCAATTTTGCCAGTTTAACATGTAAGACAAATGTAGGACAGTTATTAAATACTAAATCAATAGAAGGTGATTTTAAAGGCTATGTTACATAGCTGTGAATAGTATTTTAATGATTATAGTAATAAAATCACATTTCCCTGTACTTATTTATTACATGAATCAAAGTAAATAATTTTTTTTTTTTTTTTTTGAGATGGTGTCTCACTCTATTGCCAGGCTGGAGTGCAGTGGAGTGATCTTGGCTCACTGCAACCTCCCCCTCCTGGGCTCAGGTGATTCTATTGCTTCAGTCTCCAGAGTACCTGGGACTACAGCTACATGCCATCATGCCTGGCTAATTTTTCTATTTTTAGTAGAGACAAGGTTTCACCATGTTGGCTAGGATAGTCTCAAACTCCCGACCCCCTCGGCCTCCCAAAGTGCTGGATAACAGGCATCAGCCACTGTGCCCAGCCAATTTGTTTACAGGTATTGATCGACTTACGACCTATACAACTTACGACCATTCAACTTTACCACCACAATCGCTAGCCATGACTGCTCTGTGTCTGGCAGCGCAAACGTTGCCCAGCTGGGCGTACGACAGTGAGGACCAGCTTCCAGCAGCACTACCATCTCTGCGTGCACCATTTCAACTGTTATCCCAGACTTGGTACAGCAATTTGTGTTTTGTGTCTTGGATATTTGTCATCAAACCCCTCCCAATAAACTTCTTATCAAACATCGAACAATTTGCAAGGATTGAACGGATGGCGCACGAACCGTATCATGAAATTTATGAAGAAAAAAAGAAACATACAATTCAGACAAAGCTCACCATGTTTATGAAAAAAAATCTCTAGTGACCCCAACTGCTGCCTCAGATGATGACATCAACGATCCGCAGCCAAGCACCAGTGGCAAAAAAAATGTTTTGTACATGTTTCGATATGTTTTGCAATTGGGAAAATGTTTCCTATGGTATTTTTTACACCTGTATTTTGTATTTTTGTATGCACCTGTATTTTGTAGTTTTGTATGTTTTGCAAATATTAAACCAGTTGTACTGGTAATGCAGTGTTTTACTGAAACCTGACGAAGGTAAAAATAAGAAACAAAATGGTGTAGAGATGATACAAATGGCATAAAATGAACAAAGAAAATTATGATATATAACAATAATGAAAGAAAATTATGACAAAATATGACTTAAAGATTTTTATAACATCATTTCACAGTACTGTACATATAGCCTACTCAACAACCAAATCGTGTTACGACCGGTCTGTCGGAACAAATTATGGTTGTAAGTTGAGCACTAGCTGTATTTTTGTTACAAGCATTAATTACATATATATACATTACATGTGTATATTTTATTTTAGAAGTTTGCATTTCTCTTAAAGATTTACTAAAGTGGTATTATTGAGGAAATGCTGGCATAAACAGAATTATTCAGTAATTCAATTGAAGAGGGCAGTTTATGTGCAAGGATGAAATATGCTTAGTGCGAAGATATTATAAAGGAAAAGGGTCAAGTTATTTTTAAGAAAAACACATGCACATATGTACATATATAAAATTACTACAAATAAAAGTGTAAGAATTTGGAAAAAGTGGGAAATAATTGAATAATTGATCTATGCATCCAATGATCCCTTGTATACTTTTAAACCTATATAAAACTAGGTAGCAAGGTGATAAAACACGTGCTAAAGGATAGAACTTATGCCACAATCAGCTTTGGTTGTGACGAATTTCAAGTCTCATATGTGAATCTCAGTATTTTGAAATTATTAAACTTAAGTTGTTCATTGATTAGAGTTCAAATATTTTAAGTAATTGGGTATATTCTCTATAGAAACAGTTTTATCTGCATAATTTTGAATTAGTTTATTTGCATTTTTTAAATTGTGTTTATTAAATACAATAATGCTAGTATTTATTAGCATTGTAACTTATTTAGCATATAATTTACCACATAACAGCATATAATTATTTAATAATTATAACTTATAAGATTTATTTTTAAAGGTTTCCTAAAGAACTTCAAGGTCCCAAACAATAGATAAGGTTTGGAAATTTGCCACTGAAATTCTAAAAGGTAAATCCCCAATGCAGCTAGCTCTGCTATAACCTCTTCAGCCTTCTATATGCCCCAAGATTTTCAGGATTTTCAAAAGAACGAGAAGACATTTTTATCATTCATTTATTACAAATATGCACTGAATGCCTTCTATATGCCACAAACTTCCTAGGAATTGATAATTCATGATTACATTTAGGAACTTAATAACTTCACTGATGAAGCAGAAAAACGTTTTTCTAGTGCATAAAGCCCATCAATAAAAGAGGTAAATACTTTATCACCATAATACAATATTGTTGATAATATTACAAAAATAGAGCAACGAAAGGGGACACGGACTGTTGCAAGTGGGAAGAGTCATAACCTCACAAGAAAGGCTGCTGAAGGCCTCTTGGAGAGGTTACACTTGAGAAAAGACCTATTGTTAGTAAAGAAATAAAGCATTCAAATGCCTCAGGAAGAATATTCCAGGAAATAAAAAGAGTGAATAAAAAGATCTGAGTTTAAAACAAGCTTGCATGTTCACAGAACATCAAAGAGTGGCAAGAAGTCAATTTTGGTTGGAAGTTCTTGTGGAAGGGGAAGACTGGTTAGGTGATTAGACGTGAGAGCCTTAAGGATGGGGTGACAGGTTAGTAAGAAACTTGTAGGTTTTTAGGAAGACTGAGTTTGACTATGAATGATGTAAGAAGAAATAAAAAAGTTAGTATGTTAGTATTCTTTTACTACCTAACAAACTACCTTACACATAAAAGTTTGAGACATCTATTTATCATTCATTTATTTTTTCACAATTCTGAAGGTCAGAAGTTGAAGCATGGTGTGACTGGATTTGCTGCTCAGGGTATCACAGGACCAATATCAAGGCTTTGACCAGGCTCTAGGAATGAATCCACTCATAAGCTTCTTCAGGTTATTGCCCAAATTTAGTCCCTGTAGTTATAAGACTGAGATCCCATATTCTTGTGGATATAAGCTGCTCTCTGCTTCCAGCTGCTAAAGGCTGCCTGTTTTCCTTTCTGTGTGGCTTCCTTCATCTTCCAAGCTAAAAATTGACAATATCCCTCATATCAAATCCCTCTCACTCTTCAAGTTTCTTTTAATAGGAAGAACCTGGGCCCTTTTAAGTGCTTACCTAAGTAATTCAGGCCCACCCATGATAATCTAATTTTAACTGGTTTGGAACCTTAATCACTTCTGCCAAACTCCTTCAAAGTATCAGCTAGACAAATGTCTTATTGAGTTACCGGGAGAAGATCAGCATATGGGAAGAGCTAGGAATCTTGGGGCCATCTTCAAATTCTGCCCACCAAAGTCAGAGTAACATTATTTGACGTATATTTTAACCCTGGCTGCTCAATTAAGACTACTCTAAAAGAGGGCTAGTGAAGAAAATGAAAGAAGAGGAAGCTATTGCAGTTGTCTAGGAGAGGGGCAATGGTAGTTTGTAACCATAGATTTGGTCACAAATGTCAGATTCTTAATATATTTTTGAAAATATAAATAATAAAATAATTTGTTTCGTTAGATATCTAGCATAAAAAGAAGACAGTTGTTAATAATGACACCAAGGGTTTTGGCCCAACCAGGAAGAGGAAGATACATTTCATTGACTGGGATTAGGGTGGGGAAGTGGGCTGCGGAGAGTTAGGCTGGGACTGGAAGATCAAGAGTTCAGTTATGAATATTATAAGTTCATGACTTCTATTAGGCATTTAATTATAGATGTCAAATAGATCAGTATGTGTATCTGGAGTTTAGGAGAATGATATAGAACCAAAATATAAATTTGGGAGTCTCTAAAGAAGAGTATATTTGAGGCTAGAGAGGATGATCTCACCAACAAGTTTCAGATATATTGCAATCTTCTCTCCTATGCCTTGTGCTCCTTGAGGCCAAAGCCTATGGACCACATTTGAGGCTTTCAGTTGAATTCAGTTATCGAGAAGAATTGGTAGGACAGAGACACTTGAGAGAAAGTTTGGTCTAATAATTGCCTCACTAGCACTGTCCCTACCTCACCATGGCTCCGCTTGCAGCTGTGTTTCTCTGTATGGTATTATTTCACCCATGCAGACATAAATTATCATAATAGCATGGATAGTAGTAAGTTGTGGCGAAATAATTATGAAGTACTAATATTCATTCCTTTGTTTAAATATAATTCCTTTGCAATTTTTGATAATAGCTAGATTTATCTACTAGTTTGCGAAATCCCTGAAATTTTAACAATCAGCTTTCTTTAATCAGCATGAGCTATCTTAAGCACACCAATGACTATTTCCACGGCTCCAGCAATCTGTGAAATCTATTCACACAATTTTCTGCCTTCAGGCCAGTAATGCTTTCCTGTGAGTGCTGGTATCTGCATGCTTCATCATCTATTGGTAATTCCCTTAGCCCTGCCTCTAAATAGTTATCTTCAATGAACATTTGATCATGCCCGCCAACATCAAGACTGATGAATCCAGAGGTGGTATAGACATAAAAAGGCATCCCAAGTATACTGAGCCCTGGGAAATTTCAAAGTTAATGGCTGGATGAGATGAGGAGTATCTAGTAGAACAGACTGAAAATAAGTGGCCAGAAAAATAGAACAAAACAAAAGTTATATCGTATTCTGGAAACCAAGAAAAGCACAAGAGAATTATTGGCTTTGTCAAATGCTATTATTGTATCAAGAAAAATGAGGAGTGAAAATTAACCATCCGGTTTACTACTGTAGATGAAATGATGTACTTAATATGAACAATTTTGATGAATGGTATTGGCACTATGAAGAAAAGAAATAGATTCATAGGTGAATAGAAAAATGAAGTACAAGGCATTTTTAAAAAATAATTTCAACATTTATTTTAGATTCAAAGGGTACATGTGTAGGTTTGTTACATGATTATACTGTATGATGCTGAGGTTTAGGCTGCAGATGATCCCGTTACCCAAGTAGTTGGCATAGCACCAAATAGTTTTTTGACCCTTATCTCCTTCCCTCCCCCTTTTATGGTCCCCAGTGTCTATTGTTCCCATCATTATGTCCATGAGTACCCAGTGTTTGACTCCCACTTATCAGTGAGAACATGTGGTATCTGGTTTTCTGTTCCTGTCTTAACTCACTCAGGATGATGGCCTCCAGCTGCATCCATGTTGCTGCAAAGGATATGATTTCATTCTTTATATGGCTCCATAGTATTTCATCATGTATACGTACAATTTCTTTATTCAATCCACCATTGATAGGCACTTATGTCCATGTCTGTACCACTGTGAATGGAGCTGTGATGAACATACAAATTCTTGTATCTTTTTTTGTGGAATCATTTATTTTCTCTTGGATATATATCCAGTAATAAGATTGCTGGGTAAAATGGAAATTCTTTTTTAAGTTTGTTGAAATCTCCAAACCACTTTCCACAGTGGCTGAACTAATTTATATTCCCAACAGTGTATAAGCATTCCCTTTTCTCCATAGCCTCACCAGCCTCTGCTATTTTTTGAATTTTTGATAATATCCGTCTGACTGGTGAGATGGTATCTCATGGTGGTTTTGTTTTCACTTCTCTAATGATTAGTGAAGTTGAGCATTTTTTCATATGCTTCTAGGCTGCATGTATGTCTTCTTTTGAGAGGTTACTGTTCATGTCTTTTGTCCACTTTTTAATGGGGTTATTTGCCTTTTTTGTTGCATTGTTTAAATTCCTTATAGATTCTGGATATTAGACATTTGTTGGATACATAGCTTGTGAATATGTTATCCCATTCTGTAGGCTGTTTACCCTTTTGGTATTTTTAAATTAATTAATCAATTTAATTACATCCTACTTGTTAATTTTTATTTTTGTTGCAATTGTTTTTAAGAACTTGGTCATAAATTCTTTGCAAAGACCAATGTCCAGAATGGTATTTCCTAGGTTTTCTTCTTGGATTCTTATAGATTGTTGTCTTATATTTAAATCTTTAATCCACCTTGAGTTAATTTTTGTATATGGTAAAAGTTTTGAGTCCAAGTTCATTCTTCTGCATATGGCTAGCTAGTTATTTCAGTACCATTTAATGACTAGGGGGTACTTTCCCCTTTGCTTAGGGCTAATAGATGTGACAAGGCTGAGTGTTAAAAGCAGAGTAAGAAGGGTGTGGTTGTGGTAGACTGTAATTGATCCTACTCATTTAATTCTCCTTCTTGCAGGAGGATATATATCTGTGACCCTTTGATGTTAGGCTTGACCATGTGACTTATACCCCACTGTTATCCTAACCACCACCCCCCACCCCGCATACACTCCTTTGTAGGAAGATTTGACATTCCCATCTTGCTTACCTCAGAAGTAACCACATGAATTCCTTGGTAAATGAAATATGAGCAGAAGTGATATCTACCAATTCTTAAAACACCTTAAAAAGTCAATTTTGGCTTGTCAGGTTTTTTTTTTTTTTTTTTTTTTCACTTCTACTACAATACTGCAATTTCCCAGATAGGCTGCTCAGACAGCCTGTTCTCTAAAAAAAGATGATATTGGAGTGACAGCCACTCATGATGGTCATGTAGCATTAAGTAGATGTTAATCTTTGTTGTCTAGGTTTCTGAGGTTTATGAATTGTGTTATTGCAGTATAATTGTCCTCGGTGATTCAACTGACTTACCATTTACCCAAAACGTGTTCTGATGGATAGATATATAAAGGTTCAAAAAGTTTGGTCTTAAGGCAATTTGTGAAGTTACCATTAAAACAAAATAATTGGTGTGGCCCACCTCTCCTCACCAATGATTTTTTATTAACATTAGTTTTAAGATTTAACAATTCAAGGAATTGACTTTTAATACTTTCAAGGCCCACACATCTGTTCTTGTAACCCCATTTCCACATGTACATCAAGTCATCTCTTTAAGAGTTCATTTAGCATAATAGCAGGAATTCTGACTACAACTTTTGACAAGTCTTTTAACCAACAGGCAGGTTATTTTATACAAATTAGCTCTACTATTAGGGTAATTGTAAGATAGTGTATTATGCATTATTAGTTAGTTATCAAAAGTATAAAAAGGATTCTATTCATAAACACTGAAAGTCACTTAGAATGCTACTGCTGTCAAACAACAGAAGACTTAGGCAACAAGAACTTCTTTAGGCACTCTTCACTGCAAGTTGAGGAGCAGAGCTTGCTCCAGGTATGTTTAAAAAGTGGATTATCTGTGTCCTCTGCAATTCCTTCTAAGGCATTTACAAGTATTAGTCCATATATTATTTTATTGAGATACAATACTAAATATTGAAATTATCATATTACCTTAGTTATTGTTATGGCTAGGTATACAATTATTATTTAAAAGACCTTTAGATAGACTAGGGTTTACTTAACTTACTGTACAATTTGCAAATATTTATCTTTTCCCACTAACATGAGGGTAGTAATCAAGCTGTAATCAAGCTCACAGCATATTCAGACAATTTTTCTTCTTGTCCTTCTCTTTACTTGTATTTTCTTATTAACCAACTTATAAGCTATTCTATTTTAAAATTATCAGTGCTTTGTTAGAGCTAAAAAAAGGGAAAATTCATAAATATACTTAGTACTAGTTTCTTAATAAAGTGATTATCATTAACATGTTTTGAGGTCCATTCTCGGTACTTATCTTTAATTAATTTTTTATATCTGTGGTTAGAAGATGCTTTTGTATGGTATTTATAACTCTTTTCCCGTATTGCACTGTTTTTGAAGCTTA